GCTGCGGGGCCCGGGCCGCAGGGAGAGCGGACGGGCAGGTGAGAGCTGCGGGGCCCGGGCCGCAGGGAGAGCGGACGGGCACGTGGGCACTGTGAGGGATGCGGGGGCTGGCATGAGCTGTGTCCTCACACCCCCACTTCACAGAGAGGCTGGTGACCTGCCCGAGGGCATGCAGTCCCATGTTGAGGGTGAGGGGCACCGGGGTTTGAACCCAGGAGCCAGGTTCTAGCCCCGACCCTGCAGTGCCTGGGCCCCCAGACATCCAGTACTGAGGGGACCACCTAAGAGTGAGTTCATTCAGCATCCGGGGGCTGGGGTGGCTCACGGCTCCACCCAGCAGTTTTAAAACTGACCAGGACGCAGGTACACAGGTGATGACAGCTGCGAAGCAGAAACGCAGCAGCCGTGGGCCCAAGCCTGGCCCCGTGGATCCACCCGAGTGCTGAGCTTCCCGCGTCTATCCTGGGTGCCTGCAGCCTGCTCTCTGGATGTGGAGGCACCCCCCACCCCCGGGGCCAAGCTCCATGGACTGCAGTGGGTGGCCGGGCACCCCGACTTGGATGGAGTCAAGACGGGGGTTGGGCAGCCCCTCACTGCACATGCAGGGCTGCAGTGCTGATACAGACACCTCGAATGTGCGGGGCTGGGCTCCCCGAACCGGGAAAAGACAGGTGTACCAGACAGTCTCGGGGTGGTCCAGACTGGCCACCCAGGGGCAGTACAGAGATCAATGGGGGAGATGTCTGAGTGGACCTGACCGACAGAGAGGGCACAGGATGCGGAGCAGACGCTGGGGGATCCAGACGGGGGAGGGCAGGCAGTCTGGGGGCCCAGGCCGCTCCAAGCACAGCTTCGCACCTGCAGCAGCAGCTGGCAGATCTGCTCGGTGAGCTCCTGAATGCCAGGGTGCGAGGTCTTCTCCTCCACACCTGACTGGGTCGCAAACACGTCTTCATTCAAGGGGCCCCTGCACAGGGTCAATGGCCCGTCAGGCAAGGCTCCACGCGGGCCTCTTGGGGCGGTCCGCCGCCTGCAGCCCCCACTCCAGGTTGCCCACCTCCCCACTGCCTCATGCCCACCCCCACTCACCACTCTGCTTGCCCCCACCCAGTGGACTTCAGAAATTGAGGTCCCTCTCCTCCTCTCCCCTGGGGGAAGGGCAGGGGACAGGTCACCCCTTGCCCAGGCTCCCAGCACAGCCGTGTGGCCAGAGGTGACCCCCAGCCCCGCCCACAGTCCTGCCCGCCATCAGCTGGTGTGGAGGAGGCCGGCAGGGCCCCTGGGAGCCCCGTCCAGCCAGGCCCTCGGAGCACTCACACCCTGACTCTGTGCCTCCCGATGATGAAGGAGATCTTCCTGCTCCAGGGGTTGACGAAGCTGGACCAGCTGGTGTCCAGCGTGATGTACTCGCCATTCCGGGTGCGGAAGCGGATGGGCGAATAGTCGAAAGGCTGCCCGCCAGACTGCAGGACTGGGAGAGGGGACGGCACTCAGGACCAAAAGCTCGGCCCACCCGCTGCTCCTGACCCCCGACTTTTGCCTGTGATCGCAATGAAGGGACAGCTTCCGAAGAGTGCCATTCTGCATGTCGGGGTGGACATCCTTGTGGGCTAGACCTAATTAGGCAGCATCCCTCTTTGGTCTTCTCTGGGGAAGCTCAGAGCCACCTGGCTCTGTAGGGATGGGGCTCCGTGGGAGCCGTACTGTCCACTCCCCGGCTTGGCCAGAGCTGACCTGGGCGCCATGGCACATGCCCGTCTCCCCTCCCCCTGCCCACCAGCAGAAGCCACAGCGGAAGTGAGGTGCCGAGGGCTCGGGCCACAGCCAGGAAGGCACCCACACAATGTCAGCGCCTGGACTGCGTGAGCGGGGAGGCGGTGGCAGTGAGCCGTCCCCTGTGTGTCCACCAGTGGACATGGCCCCTGCTGGCTCGTGCACCCAGCTTGGGCAATGCCATGACAGTGCAGGGTTTCTGTCCCACCCCCAGGACCCACCAAACAAAGGACCTACTCTTCCTGTGGATGGCCAGCATCAGGGGTCTGTCGCTTGGGTGCAGCTGCAGCAGCATCGGGCTCTCCACCAGGTCTTGAGGCAGGTAGCCCAGGAGGGGGACCACCCTGGAGGCAAGCAGACACAGGGACAGTCAGCCAAGTGGCCGCACGCCCCGACACCTGACCTGCATCTACACTGCAGGACCGATTTGGGTGCAGCATCGGAACCACGCAGCAGTGCATCTCTGGAACCATCTTAACCAAAAAACTCTTTGCTGTCCAGTCATTTCCAACTCATGGTGACACCC